TGGCTCCTGCCTTCTAGAGAAACTTGGACCTAGGGAGGAAAAGTAAAGTGCACAATATATCAGTGAATGGGAATTGCTCCTGACAGGAGCTCTCCTGTTGCACCTCAGAACCACCGGGCGGGGGCGGGGGGGGCTTTTTGTGCTGTTAAGAAGCCTGGTTCCTGCTGGCCTTCTCCTACCATCTTCCTTCCTTCTACCTCCATTTCACTTACAAAATGGAAGAGACTTTACTTTTTAGTGATTATGAAATAACACATGTATTAGTTTCCTATGGCTCCAATAACAATGTGCTGCAAACTAGATGGCTTAAAACAGCTCACATTTATTCTGTCTGTTTTGAAAACTACAAGTCTGAAACATATGTGAATCCTCCTTCACGTGTTCCAAGCTGCTGGTGGTGAAGGTCAATCCCTGGTGTTCCTTCACTCACAGGAGCAACACTTTAATGTCTTCCTCCAGCATCACCTTCTCTTCTTATGTCTCTTGACATAAAATCCCACGCTGCTTCAGCAGGACCCCATTTTAACTTATTTACATCTGCAAAGACTTTATTTCCATTTGAGGTGAGTATCTGAGATACTGGGGTTAGGGTTCTCATATATTTTTGGAAGATACGGTTCAACCCAAAGCAATATGTTTGTTCATTACAAAAAATTCAAATGGTAATAGCAGAGAAGCACAAAGGAGCATGTGGAACTCACCTGCAATGTTGCTGCTTAGAGACAACCACTGTTAACACCCCTCCATTTTCTTTACCTACACACAAAGTACAACAATTATACGTACAATTTAGTGACTCGCTCATGAAAATTATATCTTGGACAACTCACAAGTCAATAAATACATACCACATATGTAATTGGTACTGATAATTCAATCTAACTAAGCCCCTATGTAGTTGAAGATACTAATAAACTATTTTTGGCTTTGTAGAGAAAGAAAAAACCTCAAACTTTTATGTACTTACAGGTTTTATTTAATCATTTGTGGTTTATCTGTCATTCTTTTTTTCATCTCATTTTCCTACCAGGCAGATACTTGACTGATTTCACAGAAAGGAAAGTGAGGTTAAGATAACATGTAAAGAAAATGATGTGTGCCACCTACCAGCACCAACCAAAAGCAAAGCCCAATGCTTCACTAAAGAGGAGTTCCCTTCTCCTGCTCAGGGCCTCAATCAGTTTTTTAGTAGTAGCGTTTTGCTACTTTTGGAAGTAGGTGTGGGAGTTCATGAAGTGAGATAAAATAAAAATGTCTAGGACTGGACAGCCGTGTGTGGAAAAGATAAAATTGGATTCGTTCTTTACATTCTACACTGGATATATTCCAAATGAATCAGCGATCTAATATAAAAAAAATCTGAAAACATAGTAGTACTAGGAAAAACTAGCACCAGCAAAGCCAGTACCAGAATTCACACGAGTAAATTATTTTATAACCGGGGAGTAAACATTCCTATCAGAGATTCGAATCCAGCAGCACTGAGGGAAGAGATGGATTAACTACAGTTTAAACAAACCAAAAAGAAAGCAAAAAGTAAAAAAAAAAAAAAAAAGTGCAACTTATGTCACAATGAGCTGGTATATAAACAGTTCCTAATTTTTTTTTTTAATTATAAAAGGCCATCCTGATAGAAAGTAAGCAGAAGACAATTTAAACGAAAAGAAATGCAAACAGCCTCGAAGAGCTGAAAGGTTTATTTATTGCTGCTTGTTTTCCATTTTAGGAGCTGCTTTTAAATTTTATTTGGTATTTTATACATTTTAAAAATTTACAGGGTTCCAAAGTCAAATACAAAACCAGATATAATCAGAGAGGTCTAGCTTCTACTCTTGTCCTCGCACTTTCCTCTCTTCTCTTCTTAATTACTATTTTCATCACATTCTGGTGTACCTATTTTTGAAAACATAAGCAAACATCCATTTGTACATGAGTGTGTGTACAAAGCACAGAGCATAGTGCACATACTCCTTTGTGTCTTGCTTTTCTCACTTCACTTCGTGGCCATATGTCTTCTGCATTATGTAACAGCTTCCTACTACTTGATTGTATGTATACAGGCACCACATAAAAGAGTAATTACAAAATTATACTAAAATATGATTTCCCACCTATCAAATTAGCAAAAATCTAAGACTTTGACAATCTATTTTAATGGAAAGGCTGCAGGGAAACAGGAAATCTTGCTGGTGTAAATACAGTATTTCACAACCCCAATGAAGGGGAATTTGGCAGTATTAAATAAAATAACGTGGTTTTTTACTCTTTAAACTAGTAATACCATTTAAGTAAATCTATGTTAAAGACTCACTGGCAAAAGCATATTATATGTATAAGGATCCTTTTGTAAGAGCAAAAGTCTGGGATATCTACTGGTATATATATATGAATGGCCAAAGAAAAGAATTACATCCAGTTCATTTAAAAGCTTGTATATTGACTGTACATCCTTTATGAGATTTAGGTGAAGAAAGAAGGAGGCACATATGAAGTTACGCTTCATTCATCAGTCTTATGTTGCTAATACTATTATCTTTATTCTGTTTTTAGTTATTCTTTACCATTATTGTTATTCTGTTTTTATATATGTGCATGTGTGAATATTGATAAAACAAATAAGCAACGATGTTAACATCATTAAGTACAAATATTTTTATTTTAAGAAAAAGGAGGAAACAAAATCAAAGAGCTCAGCTTTAAAAAAAGATTAGTGCATACACAGAAAAAAGCATTTAATATTTAAGAGTGGTCATACGTCTTTAAGAAAAGGAAATCTGAGACATTTCAAACCCAGAACAATGTAAAGTTTGTGGAAGGGATGAGGGTAAAGACAGCTTAAGTAATGTTTTTTAAAATTTCACCTGAAGAAGATAAGGAATAGGTTGTTTCATTTCTGATGCATCATTTCTTGTTAAATTTGATGGCTTTTTTCTTCAGCCATTTGCCTCTTGAATGCTGGCCCCACTCAACTATCACATCTTCAACGCTTTGCCAAGTTAATGTTTAATGGTTCTTCAGAACAGTTAATCATTGGTATGTCCCTGCCCCATCGTACCTTTTATTATACCCTATCATAGAATCATATTCCTTTCCTTAGTGCACTTCTCTCATTTGATAACTGTCCACATAAATATAACTACTTGTTTAATATCTACCTCCCTTTTTCCTTCTAGGGCTGAAATTGTGTTTGGTTTTGTTCATCATCTTATAGCATATAACAGGAGTTCAACACACAATTGTTAAAATAAAGCAACATGTTTAACTTCCATTTTGTTCCCATCTCTTCACTCAGAGACTTTTTTTTTTTGGATTGGAAAGGTTGTAGTATGTAAGGATTTGAACTCCGAAAGGTGCAAAATGTTTCTAAGAGAACATTCCATACTTAAATTCATTCATTGGGCAAATACTCCTTTATCCCCTGGCACTATTGAGTAATGGGAATAGGACAGTACCTAAGGCAGAGAAAGTGCTGCCCTAAACAAGTTTACCTGGGGGCGAGGTGGGTGGCACTAAATGTATACTATTATTAATATATTTTCTATATAAAATTGAGTCCAAGTTTCTTGCTCTAAGAGAATTACATCGAAGCAAACAGAACAACTTGATGGGTTCGCTGAGGTTTCAGAATGGAAAGCAGCTCAGAGGAGGGCATATGCAGCCTTGCAGGTCAACAAGAAGACCAAGGTTTCAGCAACGTGAGGGCGGGGTGCCGAGCTCCTCCGGGTCCCCTAACTCCAAATCACACCGAATGACGTTTGTGCAAGCTGCCACCTCCCGCAGACTTCGCATTTCTTCCGCGCTCTCCTCTCTCGACGGTCTTCATTGTTGTACTTAACTTCCTATGCAAGAAGATTTGTACCTCAGACCCCCAAATGTGAACCAATTCCCATAGCCGAAGTTCCCACTAAAGGCTGCGTATTGGGATTACTAAACTAGGCGTTTGCGAGTCCTGACTCAAATTGACTCGTTTAGGGTTCCGTAGAACGGTTTCTCCGTTAGGGGGCCTTCAGCTTCTCCCAGTGCGGGGGTGGGGAATGAGGACAAGGTGTCTGTTGCATTTCTCAAAATACTGTATTTTGTCTGCGGCGGAGGTCCAGATATTCAAGCATCCTTTGAACAGCATTTTCCTCCAAAAAATATGGCTATGGAGAAGCAAGTGAAGTTCATCTATCTGTTCACGTTTCTTAGGTTTGCCCGCCACGCCTTTCGCGGTCTCTCCCCGCCCCCCCCGCACCTTTCTAGTCAGGCAGCTCCTGGCCACCCTCTGAGGGCCTGATTTTGAAAAGAGAAGCGGGCCAATCAGGTGCAGAGCGCTGTTTGGCGCTGCCATTCGATCCTGGGCTGGAACTGCGGGGGTGACGGCACAGGAGGCTCCGGGCGTCTGCAGAGGAGGTGGGGCGGAGGCCTGAGGCGGGCAGCTTGGCTCCAGTGAGCGCCCAGGATGTGCAGGCCGGGAACCGCGGGCAGGCTGACGGGGGAGGAAACGAGCCGCCTGTGAAACGGGGGGACGGCGGCGACCAGCCCGGGCGGGGACCGGGACTGGAAGAGGCGCCCGAGCAGCCGGCTGGTCCGGCGGCCAGGCTAGGGCTGGGGTGGGGAGGGGCGCGGGGACCGAGAAACGAACGGACGGTTGAGCCTGCCGGGGCTGGAGGGGTGAGGAAGCCAGAGCTGGCAAAGGAAGTTTCGAAGGAAAGGGGACTCTAAGTGGGCGGAAGTGGCGAGGAGCTGGCAACAGGCGTTGGTGCGCGCGACGGAAGGAATCAGGAGGAAAGAAGTGAAGTCTGTAAGTAGGTGAAAGGATTGGGTGACCAGAAAGAAGGTTAGCGTAAGTGAAAGAAGAGTGAGGTGTGGCTGGATCGGAGGGCCAAGACAAGAGGGTCTGTGTAAGTGTAAGAGGATTAACGAGAGAAAAGCCGTGGAAGTGGCCGGGGCTCTGGGCCCGGGGAGTGCCAAGGCAGCGGAGCGGAGGGCAGACCTGAGAGTGTTTGGAAACTGCAAGACTTGGTGGCAAAAGAGGCTCAGGATCTTGCCTCGGAGAGTGAGCGACGAGTCCGGGATGTGGGATCAGAGGCTGGTGAGATTGGCCGTGTTGCAGCAGCTTCGGGCCGTCTATGGCATTAAGGTCAAGGGTGGCCGTGGGCACTGCGATCGCAAGAGACAGGAATCAGCAGCCGCGGAAACAGGGGTAAGTTCTGGGCAAGGAGATTGAGGTTTAACAAGGCACACCTTGCATTTTCACTTATTACCGGGTCATGTTAAATGTTCATTCTATCAAAAGCAATGTGGTTAGATGTGTCTGATTCAATCCAGGTAATCAATTGTTGGTATTTAAAGTATGGCATTCGTGATTCTTCTCAGGGGTTTTTGATCGTTGAGAGGAAGTTGCAGGATTTCACAGCTTCAGCCTTACTGATCTTTTGGAGTAGATAATCCTTTGTTTAGGAGAGGAGATGATGCTGACCTGGGAATTGTAGACTGTGTAGCAGCATCTATAGCTTTACCCACTAGATGCCAGTAGTATCTCTCAGTTGTGACAATTAAAAATGTTTCCAGATATTCTCAATTTACTGTATTTTGAACAGGTACTACTAGGCAGGGAGGCAAACTCTAGCCCTTCACCACAGTTCTAGGTTATGGTTTCTAGGGAGACAAGGGACCAGTGTATTTTCTAAATTGATTAGTAGATGAGGTGTGGCAGAGCATTTAAAAGTAAGCTTCAGTGGCCTATCGCGAGCGTGGTGGCTCACACCTGAAATCATAGCACTCTGGGAGGCTGAGGCGGGTGGAGCTCCTTGCGCTCACTGGTTCAAGACGAGTCTGAGCAAGAGCCAGACCCTGTCTCTAAAAATAGCCCGGCTTTGGTGGGGAGGTGTCTGTAGTACCAGCTACTGGGGAGGCTGAGGCAAGAGGATCATTTGAGCCCAAGAGTTTGAGGTTCCTGTGAGCTATGATGCCTCAGGCATTCTACTGAGGACAACAAAGTGAGGCTCTGTCTCAAAAGAAAAGAAATGAGTTTCAGGTAATAACTTCATATTCACCAATTTGAGAAAACAAACTTGCAGCCATATTATACTTTTGAGACATAAAGCTATTTTTTAAAATAAATTGAGAAGGCAAAATGAAATGATTGAAAAGCTGTTGATGTTTTTAGTGGTCGGGATAAAGGAGTTTTGAATGAGATTTTAATGGTTCTATCACGTAATCAGGCATCTGTGAAAAGTAAAATAAACTGAATATAAAGCATTTTATTTTAAATGTAAGTACTTAAAGAAGAAAATTAAGAAAAACAATGTGTATACTTCTTAATACCTTATACATTCTAGAGAAATTGTTTTTGTTGTTTGCAAATTAATGGCAACAGGTGTACTTATATTTTAAAACTATAGTGACTTCTGATTATAAAACTGACTTTCCAAGATTTCAAATGTAGCTGGTTCTGTAGAATCTCCATAGTGGACCACCACCCTACCTACATTCACTGCCTCATGAAGTTGACCTAATTTTCAGAGACCTTCCTAGACCACGTGTGCACATATATATATCACTGTTATGGGACTAATTTCTTTTGATGACCACCTGTAGATACTGACCAGTTTGTGATAGTCCCTTTACAAAAGTTCAAGGGTGGTCAATTTGCCAAGGTTCTACTGTATATGAGAGAGTTTATAAATGGATTTTTTTTACTCCTTAACAAGAAAACCCACATGTACTTTCAGAGTGAGATAGACCTGAGTTTGAGTCTTGCTCCACCCCTACTAGGTCTGTGAATTTCCTTGCTTGTTAGAATGCCCTGTTTCATTTTCCTGCTATCAGGTGGGAATAATGTTATTTCTCCTTGGATTATTTAGGGGATTTAAAAAAGTTCTGGTCTGTAGATAGCCCTAGCATGGTGCCTGTCATGTATCACTTATTCAACTAATAATAGTTATGATGATCCTGAGTTCACCTCTTAATTGATAGTCATGCTGTATAAATTCAGCTAGAAACACACTAACAAAAATATTCTAATAAAGAAATATAGAAGATTCTTGTGTTATAAAAATAAGATCTAACAGCACAGGTAATTTGGCAAATCATTTCTTTTGTTCTTCAGCGTTTTTTAACTGATAGTACTTTCTGAGCTTTTAGAATGAGCACTGTAAATCTTTAAAAAATATTGTAAGTGATATTCTAATGTAAAGTTTAAAAAAGCATGTTATGAGAAATAATTATTGTAGTTATTTGTTTTTTAATTTGTGAAGCCTATTACTAAATGAGGTGTAAGAAAAAACTCTGAATTCCAGTTATGTGGCAGTTGTAGGCTTTTTCTTTCCTTTTTTTTTTTCTTCTTGAGACTAGTCTCAATTCTGTTGCCCTAGGCTAGAGTGCTGTGACATTTATAGCTCACAGCAGCTTCAAACTTCTGGGTGCAAATGATCCTGCCTTAGCCTCTCAAGTAGCTGGGACCACTCTCCACAATGCCTAGGAGAGGCAGAGTGCCTAATTTTTTTGCTTGTAGTAAAAATGGGGTTTTGCTTTTGCTCTTGCTCAGGCTGATCTGGAGCTCCTGGGCTCAAGTGATCTTCTGGTCTCAGCCTCTCATGTATTGCAGGCGTGAGCCACTGTGCCTGGCCTGATTGTAGACTTTTTCTGGCTTTAGCATCTGATTTATTTTTGCATTTTGTTTGGTTGCACATTATCAAGAAAATTCTAATTTATCCAAATAAAGGAGTTGCCCATACTAGCATTTTTTTTAAATAGCTCTTGAAATGATAACCAGAAGAGCAATGAATATTCTTTGAATGCTTACCCTGTGTGAATCACTGATACAAGGGTTTTGTATGTTTAAATTCATTTTATTCCTCTAACTCTTTGACTTAGGATCTATGTGAGGATACTGAGGGAGAGAATGTTCATTTGATCAAGGTAGAAGCGCCTCTAGGAGCCCACTGTCTTTAGCGCTACATGGTTCTGTCTTTGCAGCTCAGAATCTTTGTAAATTAAATGGAGTCAGGTGCTTGAAAGACGACTAGTAAAGTTTTGTTTCTGTGTTGAATTTTTCGTAATACTGAGTGATTTCTTAATGTAAGTAGTAAGGTGAATAAGATGCTCTTTAAACATAAGTGTTTCAAAAGTATTCACAGCAGATGCATCAAAATTAAATTAACATATGAGATTATGTTGTACTCACTTAATTTCATATAAGCAGAAATATACAGGCTTGAATTTACTTGTCAGTTCAATGCCACGCCCTGATCTTATTAGTAACACATATTTAAGAAGTTCAAATGCATGCTCAAAGATAGTGGCAGATTCTTTACATTTTAGTGTGTAAAAAACACTCAAGTTAACTAACATACAGGCTTACTCCTGGGTTGTTCAATGTTTTAAAATTTCATTGAGACATTTTAAAAATGGGTCTCCAAGTAATTAGATAAAATTTGACTTAAATATTTGCTAAATCCCTGCCTTGTGTACCTCGGGACATAGTTTGAAAAGCACTCTTCTGTAGAATATGGAAAAGATATTGGGTCTAAAAATAACCTCATGTAATTTTACCAAGTACTCTGAGTGACAGGAATTACTATTTTGCTTATCAATTGACTTAGCCTTTCATATAAGTTAGTATTTATAAGGCAACCAAAGGAAAGTATATGGTCAGTATTGATAAGATCATTGAAAGAACATGTAGTATTTTGGGGGAAATGTTTGTGTTCTAGCCCAAATTCGATTTAAGAGCTTCCTGGCTAAGGACTAACTGAATTCATTTTTCATGATCAGACTGGAGACTGATTGAATTTAATAGATTGTTTGAGGGCAGTGACTTTATCTCAACCATTTTTGTACTCCCAGCACGTAGCACAATATCTCATATAGTAGTTACTTGTTTCCAGATTCACTTGAAATAATTGTCTTATCTTGACAGTTTATAGTTTATTTTTGCTATTTTCTTATTTCCTGAGTTATTTATTTATTTATATTTTGAGACAGAGTCTCAGTATGTCGCCCTGGGTAGAGTGCTGTCGTGTCACAGCTCACAGCAACCTCAAACTCTTGGGCTTAAGTGATTCTCTTGCCTCAGCCTCCCAAGTAGTTGGGACCACAGGCGCCTGCCACAATACCCAGCTATTTTTTTGTTGCAATTGTCACTGTTGTTTAAGCTGGCCTGGGTCAGGTTTGAACCTGCCGGCCTCAGTGTCTGTGGCTGGCACCCTGCCAACAGAGCTATGGGCGCCCCCCCCTATTCCTGAGATTTTTAATTCGGCTAATGTTTAATGAAATTTATGTTATGCCTAATATTTGTGTTAGAGTAACTGAATTTGTCATTTCAGGGCAAAGTATTTGGAGTACCTTTTAATGCATTACCTCATTCTGTTGTACCGGAATATGGACACATTCCAAGGTAAGCAGAGTCTGAAATGAAGAACAGTAAATATTTCCAACTGGCTTCAGCGAGTTTAAAAAGAAATAGTTGATTGACACCCAGTTATTTCAAATCAGCAGAGTATTTCACCTCTAAACATTAGCTAATATAAAATAATTTTTTTAAACTTTTATGTAGTTTAAATTTGTAATTCGTACTCATTTCTAGGATTGACTTTTATGGTCTAGTAATGAATAAATGTCAGAAATTAATTTTTTTTCCCGTGAAGTCAGTTTTCAGTTCTATACCAATTCTTTTGCTACAACTCTGATTAAGTATTCACTGAATTACCCATTCAGTAATAATTTTGATATTTTTTGTTTGTTTAATAAATGTTGGAGAAAAGAATATTTAAGCTCAGATTCTGGAGTATTTGAGAATAAATACCTGTATTTTGCATGTAAAATGTGCTCCCCTGTATAATGTGCACTTCTTTTGCCCACACTTTCAGAAAAATGCCCATTAGGAAAGCAGCTGGCTCTTGGGTAGGAGAGACACATCTGGGGCTAATGCTCCCTTGGTAAACGTGCAGCTCACACCGCCAGGGGTTCTGTGAAAGCTGCCCCTTTCCTCTATCCTGGCAGGCTTTCCCTCCCAGCCATGGGGGGACCATGCATGTGGCTGGTGGGGCAGGACATTCTGAGGCCAATTGACCTGTAGGTAGCCAGTGGGCTCCCCTCCATGGTCCCCTCCACACTGCAGGCCTCAGTTCTCAGCCCTCGCCCCTTGGCCTACCACCGTACCCTCCCCTGATTGCTGCGGCACTTTGGAGAGACCATTCTGCCCAGTCACACTGGATCTCAGATCCTTCTGGACTAGAACTCTGTGCACCCATTGGGCCTCTGGCAGGAGGGCATGGCTCCTCTCCTGAGCTGTACTACTCGTGGATAATGTGCATCCTTATTTATCCTCAAAAATTTGAGCAAAAATGTGTGCATTATACACAGAAGAATATGGTGTTATATAACACTTAACTTCTGTACCATTTATTGTTTATAAGTAACCTGAACTTAGTCCATCAATCATAATTTAAATTGTTTTTTAATTACTATGGGTACATACTAGTGGTACATAAGAACATAGTTTTAAAATGCATGTAAGGAAACTATCTTATCTCTAATTCACTTTCCCCTCTATCTAAATAAAGTAGGGTTCCTTTTTCTAGTCTAATAATATAGATTTTAAATGGTATATTCTCCAAATGCATTTATTCAATACTTTATTGCCTTAAGACAGTTTTGCCCCCATTGAGCATCTAGGTGTGAGTTTATAATCTTCAGAAAGTAATCACTTACTATTTTGGTTTTTTAAATCAGGTATGAAAGACTTGCTTTTCCCATAATGAAAACCTATAATGATTTTTAACATTTGGAATTGCAATGTCATATGCCCTGGAATAACAACCAAATCTTTGTTGTAATTTCTTGGCCTACTTTTTTTTTTTTTTTAAACTATTCTGTCAGTTACTTTCTATAAGCAGGGCTGACATTTAGCCATGTGCACCAATAGAACTGTATTAATTATTTGTAGCTCATATCCATCTTAATTTGTGGGTCCCAGCTGTTAAATATGTAAGTATCTAAAGCCAACATTGATTCCCATTATTGTTTAAAGTAGAAGAAGTTGAACACATATCTAAGAGAAGGATTTTAAAGACTGGGGTCTATTCTACTTTTCTGAGGGTGAGAAAAAAATCTTGCCTTATGTTGGGGCAAATGCAGGAGATGATAACGCAAAGCTGTGTATCTGCGCAACACCACCCACGGGGAGTCGGAAGAGAAGAGGAGGCCTTGGACAGAGGCTGGGGTTGTGGCCACATGTAGGGATCTAGCAGAAGAGTAGCTGACAGAAAAGGAATCTGAGAAGGAACAGTTAGAGAATAGCAGGAAAACCCAAGGAGTAGTGAAAAGGAGCATTTTTGAGATGAACAAGAAGGACGCTCAGGTGTGTTACATGCTTATAGGTTAAGCAAGATGAGGACAGCGAATTGACCATTGATTTGGCAAGGCATTGGCCACTGGTGACCTTGAGAACTGTTTCCTCGGGTTAATGGGGATGAGATTCTGACTGGACAGCACTGAGTAGAGACTGGGATATGAAGGAGAGGAGGCAGTAAAAAGACAAGTGTGCTCTGAAGGGAAGCAGAGACGTAGAGTAGGATTGAGAAGGATATAAAATCGAGTGGCTACGTTAGAATTGGCAGGAGTGGAAAGATGGGCCCTAGAGAAAAATTTAGGAGGCAGACAGAAAAGTGAAAGTAACTTTGTCTCAAAGACTAAAGGGATTTGTGGCATTAGAGCTTCTGAAAGGGCATAGTGCTGGGCTTTCTCAGAAACTTTAGCTGCAGAGGATTTGGTAAGACGCGTGTCTGGCCACCTGAAGTAGTCTCTCTTTCAGCTTCCTTGTCGATGCTTGCACGTCTTTGCAAGAGCATATTCACACAGAAGGGCTTTTTCGGAAGTCGGGATCTGTAATTCGTCTAAAAGCGCTTAAGGTAAGCTTATTCTTGAACTATGTTTCGTTTTCCAATTTTATCTGTATGATTGAAATGTATAGAACTATTACATGCATAATTAACAGAAATTAAATTTACAAATAGCTTTTTTATTGCAAATTATTTTTTTTTCGAAAGAAATTACATATTTATATTGTGCTTTAAAGTTTTCTGAGTACTTCTAAATTCTTAGTATACTGGATTATGCTATTCCTATCATCTGTTATGTGAAAATGAAAAAAAATGTTAAATTGTTCTTTAGCCCTCTGGAAAAAAGAGGGCTATATATTAAAATGAGTTAAGAGAAATTTGTATAAGAGAGCTCTTTAATTAGAGTATAACAAAATATACGTTGTAGCACTAAACTCTTAAGTCCCCCAAATACTCAGATCATGTTATCTTTGTTTCAGAACAAACTGGATCATGGTGAAGGTTGCCTGTTGTCTGCACCGCCTTGTGATATTGCAGGACTTCTTAAGCAGTTTTTTAGGGAATTGCCAAAGCCCATTCTTCCAGCTGATTTGCATGAAGCACTTTTTAAAGCTCAACAGTTAGGAACAGAGGAGAAGACTAAAGCTACATTATTGCTCTCCTGTCTTATGGGTGACCACACAGTTAAAGTATTAAGATACTTCTTTAACTTTCTCAGGAATGTTGCTCTTAGGTAAGTGGTAATTAAAACTCTTAAAAATTGTTAAAAATTTCTACATTATTTTCTAACTATAAGGAGTCTATCCTGTGTATTTTCTAGACTAGCATACACCAATGATTTAACATTTCCTTGCTATCTTAAAGTCATTATGAATGCCTTGATGACTTATTAGTATTAACGGATTCATTGTCCGCTGAACAGCTTCTGATTACTGTGTTTTGAAAGTATTTGTGTTTTGCTTTTCAAATTTTTGCCCTCTGCCTGCTCGATGAGCCTGCTTGCTCCAGACACACAGGCCATCTTCTGATACTTTGACTTTTTTGGGTGGGTTTGGAAATCAGGTAAACATGTTCTACTTGTGTGGCAGTGCAAGTGTGAACTCGAATCATGTGGTTAGCATGATTTTTATGATGTGTATTTAGATGTGTAGCAGCTATATATTTCTGGTTCTTTTATACATTTAAGACAGTCTTTTATACATTTAAGACAGATGTATAAATAAAGGGAAACTGTTTTGACTTGCATGTGACTGATAAAGTAAGAGGTCTGAAAAATGTGCTAAATGTATTATTTTAACTCTTTTTATCTTTGACTCTAATAAAATCTTTTTTTTTACTTAAGGTCCAGTGAGAATAAGATGGACAGCAGCAATCTTGCAGTAATATTTGCACCAAATCTTCTTCAGACAAGTGAAGGACATGAAAAGATGTCTTCTAACACCGAAAAAAAGCTGAGACTCCAGGCTGCAGTAGTACAGACTTTTATTGACTATGCATCAGATATTGGTAAGATGTAGTAGCATTATTAAGAAATAGAATGTGTTTAAATGAGGGACATCCCAGTTTCTTCCAAGTTAACTATGAAGACAACTTTTGAAAAATTTCTATGTTACTATTTAAACATTTTGGTTGGTAGGGGGTGGGGGACGGTGGAGAAAGGATAATAATAGTATTGTGAACATTTTCATTTAGGGCGTGTACCAGATTTTATCCTGGAAAAGATACCTGCTATGTTGGGTATGGATGGCCTCTGTGCTACCCCATCTCTGGAAGGCTTTGAAGAAGGTGAATGTGAAACTCCTGGTGAATATAAGAGAAAACGAAGACAAAGTGTAGGAGGTAAGTGGCAGTTCCATTTTATGGTGATGCAGTGATTTGTTTTTATCTAAAATGCTTTTGAACATAAATAAGCATAAACTGTATGATATGCCTATTTGGTGCATATAGTTAAAAGGATGGGATATATGCATTCAAAAAATTAAAAGGACAGTATTAAAAGCAAGATTTTTCGCACAAACAAAATATATTAAAAGGAGAAAAGTTCCCTTGGTTTTAATGATCAGGGACTTTTCAAAAAGGAGGCCAAACTGAACCTTCTTGAAGAAAGGGTAGAATCTAAGAGAATTGGGAGGACAGTAAGAAAACTTGTATCCTATTCTAGATGAGAAGGATTCTATGAAGAAAGATTTGTGCAGGGAAAAAGTAGTCTATGTCTGTGTGTAAGTAGACCAGGGTGACTTGTGTGAATGGGTCATGGTAAGGATTGGGGTGGTGTTATGATGAGCTTGATGCCACACTAAAGAATAGACTATTAACTGAGATGTTAGTGAACCATTAAAGGTATGACTTGATTAAAGTATTTTAGAAAATTAACTGATTTGCAGAATTGAGACTTGGAAGTAGGGAGAATGGTCAGAAATGTGTGGCAGTAATCCAGGTGTGAGATCATTGTTTGAACTAATTAGTGATATGAATTACCTAGGAGTATGAACTAAATAATGAGAAATTTTTACTAATGGAAGAATAAAAAAGATCAAAAAATCTATCATGGTAGAGTTGGTAATACAGCTATTTACGTCCTTGATCAAGAAGACAGGCTGTTCCTTCTCTAGTCACATTAGGAAATTTCTCATCTTTTGAATATGAGAACCAGTTGTTATCAACTATCCCATTCTAGGTATAATCTTTTGGCTGATATGTTATTGCATTCTTGTGTTTCTTCTTTACTTCCTATGTAGAGTCCTCTTAGGATTTCTGTGTTATTTTCCTAGGGCTGCTGTGGCAAAGTTCCACAAATTGGGTGGCTTAAAACAATAGGAATTTGTCTCAGTTCTGGAGACTAGAAGTCTGAAAACAAGATGTCAGCTGGGTATCTCAAACCTGTAGGAGAGAATCCTTTCTTCTCCATGATGGTCTGAGAAGATGCATGGAATAATTTCTATTCTTTTAAATTTACTTAGGTTAGACTTATAGCCTAAGAAGTGATCAATTTTGGAGTATGTTCCATGGACTGATGAGTAAAATGTATATTCAGTTTTGTTAGGTTGAAATGTTCTGTAGATGTCTGTTAGGTCCAAAAGTTGAATAGTTATATTTAAATCTAAGATTTCTTTGCTAAGC